CTTCTATCTGATCCATCTGAACGCCTGTGCTTATTACGCGATGAGTGACTATATAGGACTGGGATCTAATGGATGGGTTTACGATGATGATGGCAACGCGTATATCCGCTGCTTTTACTTCGCGACCAAAACAGCCACGTCTATAGGCAAGAACCCTAAACCTGAGAACACTATTGAATATCTCTTTATGACCGCAGCCTGGCTAATGGGTGTGTTTGTGTTCGCGTTGCTGATTGGACAAATAAGGGACATTATTGCTACGGCCACTAGAGCTAGGGTAAGTACCACCATATTTAAAAAGAAAATAATTAAAAATAATAACCTAGGGCAATTTAAACAACCACGCAGTCAGGGTAGAATGCAGTGGGAAACACCTCGCTACGACATAGGCACTAGTAGGTACACCGTGTGGTTTTTAGTAGGTAAACATCCTCCACACCGCCTCGTCCTCCTTCCGGCATAGTGATGACCTTTTGAAGATATTTCACACGTTAAAAAAAATAAAGGCAATTTATACAGCAGCGTCTAGTTCTAAGAGTTTGTGTTATGGGTACTAAACAACATATAAATACTTTTTTTTAAAACACAAAATATGCATAGAAAACAACTAGACCAAACAAAACAACTAAAGACTCATAAATACAAATGTTTGATAAAATAAATTGAAACGGGACCATCAGTAAACAACCCACCCCTCGGATTAATTATTAGTTTTGTTAACTAGTATTTTCCTTCAAAGGACAGTCAGTCAAAAATATAAATAGACACATTTTTTTGGTCCCAGCCAGATTTGAAAGTTCAATATCAAAGACCTTCAATTTGCAAGTCGGGATAGTAAACCACTAGGTCATACTAACTCAGAAAATACTATAGGCACACATTAAACTTTTCAGGCTGAATATCGTAAGTCAGTGGACGGATGTGTTCGGTATCTACGAAGACTCAACATGCCGGCCCCGTTGCAGCGACGGGTGACCTGCTGGTTCAACTACACATGGAGTCAGCAGAGGTGTTTCGGTTAGTTTGAAAGATAATAATAATATCTGGCGTATCGTGCATATATGTCTACATGAAGATACGGGAAACAATTAAAGATATTAGAATTAAATACTTGTCCAGTATGACCAAGAAGTGAGATTAAATAAAAATAAAGAAACGATTCGAATGATATGAGAATTAAAAAAAAAATACCCCTGGGCAAATCACGCAACGCTATCTAATCCCAAAGGTAAGTAGAACTTGTGTTATGGTAGACTAGACAAGTGATATAAATACTTAGTTTTTTATTTTTCTAAAAACATGCATAATGTACATAGAAAACATCCAGGCCGATACAAACAATCATACTGAAGATATGTTACAAATATTTGAATAGAACCCCCAACCGTCGGAAGTAAGGCGGTGTGCTAAACTGCTTGACAACCAAGGTCAAATACGATTGAATTAAATAACATTGAAATATTTACATAATATTTTAAATTTAGAGTGTGATTTGGACAAGGGAAATATATAATATAGTATACATAATAAAAACCTTTAAATATTTATTTTTATTAAAAAATGTAACACTTTTCTTTACACAATAGCATATCAATAGTGTCAATTTTTTATATCAATTTTAATTATTCAAAATAATAAATTAAAAAAATATATATAAATAAATTAAAAAATAACTTATTATGTCATAATTTTACATTGGAATTTATATATTAAGTTATAAAAAATACGTTGTTTCAAATATGATTGAATATGACATTACCTGTGTACTTATTGCTGAACTTTTCACAGATGAGTCCAGGATATTGAACTCGCTCCCCTACAATATGAAACGAGACGTGGCACTAGCTGTGCACATGTCGACATTGAGTAAGGTTTGTAACTAACTATGTAAACAATAACTGCATTCGCATACATATTATATTCAAGTGTATTAAAAGATAATATGTATATTTTATAAATTCATTATTTTTAAAATTATAACTACACCTGTTTTGTTAAAGTAAAGAATTTTATATATTTTGAAAGCATGTACCTATATGCTGTGCGGTGGATGATGATATAATAAAAATATTTCAGGATAAAGTTTTTGCGTATTAACATATAGATAACCCAGACCAATTCACACAGGGCGATGTAGTCCCAAGCTAAGCAGTACAGTGTATGTAGCACGTAATCAGTATAGTTATTAATCTCTTACCTACATATTTTTTGTATGTACGTAAATAAATACATACATACATAAGCTAAGCAGCTCCGTGTTATAGTTACTAATCTGACCTACATTTTTTTTTGTAAATACAAAATATATATACGTATATACATAGAAAAACACCCAAAAGTAAAAATAACCATGATACTAAAAAATACAAGCGAGAAATCGAATGCGGCTACCGAGGCCGTCAATGTCCACTAGTCATTGCTAACTATCCCCTTGTTCCCATCATGCGTGTAGGTGCAGCTGTTCCGCGACTGCTCGTCGTCTCTGCTGCGAGACCTGGTGCTGCAGCTGAGACCGGTGTCGTTCCTCCCAGCAGACGTGGTGGTCCGCCGCGGTGACGTGGGGCACCACATGTACATCATCAAGTCCGGCGAATGCTTCGTATGTATTATAACACCTATTATTATTGTTATCTAATAATATAGAAACATGGCAAAGGAGTTGTAGTAATGAGGACTGATAAACCCATTACTAGCAATGGATTACAGCGAATGTCAAGTCGAAGTCGAACTCATAGAGTTGAGATGTGTCAACTCTAGTTAACTTGAGTTGATTTCTCCCAACTCGAGTTGGGAGAATTAAACTTGTATATTTATAAAGGGGCCAATGTTTAGGACATTTTCGAACCGCCAGTGAATAGACGTGTAAGGTGTCAAAAATGCTCGAATTTATTTTAAATATGTAGGAAATACGAACTCTTTAATTAATCATTCAAAAAAACTCAATAGGAGTAGTTGACCTGCAGCCATGCATGCGCTCCATAAGTCCTTACGCGGGTTTGGAGTACCATTTCCACTCGCCCCCCATGGTTTGGTGAAGCTGTGACAGCCAGCTGCGCCCAAAATTGTTACAATAGTTCGTATCGTAAAAATAATAAAAATAATGTTTACTCCAGGTAACTCGAGTTAACTAGAGTTACCTGAATTTCAACTCGAGATAACTCTAGTCATGTTTGGTACGAGTTAGCTCATCTCTATCATAGAGCTTGAAGATTTTAGCTAACAAAAAGTCTTGTCCTATTGATCACTTAAGTAAATATAGGGACTGGCCTGGCCATGGAGACGCTTCTCCAAGCGACTATTCTGTTAAAGGGTCAAACTCCGCTGTTGTGTAATGTGGAATGATGATCTCATTGCTAGAAATACCATGTCAGGTTGACCTCCACGCGGTTCCCCCTGGAAACCAACGTGATAAATTCTTCGTGAATTTGTCACGATGCTAACTGACCTGACCTTATACTCATCTTATCATCGTCCACTGGTGCCCCGCCAGCGTAAACCGTTAGCGCAGGCGGGTGCACCATTCCATAATCACCCATTAAAAAAAACTCCGCTGTTGTCGATATAGTACCAGGTTGATCGCCACGCGGACTACGTGACGATCAACCTGGTACTATATCGACAACCATCGTGAATAAATTCCTGGTAATTTGCACCGAAGGGCTAACTGACCTGACTTCATGTTTATCCTATCATCATTCACTGTTGCTCCAGTAGTGTAAACCGCTAAACCCAAAACGACGATCGCACCGTTTTTTAAAAATTAAATATGGGTTAACTTAATTACCCTATTAGAATAACTTAATTATTCTACAGACTTGAGAGTTATCTACGCAATAAATTTACGATGTACGTATTAGTTTTATCTTCCCCATTATTCGTTTTATCTCTATTCAGAGACCTTGCATCTCCCCTCACCCAAGCGCGATAGCAATACTTTCAATAAGAATTTTGTTGTATATACATATTTACTTTCTGTTCTATAAAGCTTACTTATAGTACAGAAACATAACAGGTATTTTTATTTTTAGTTTCTTTAAAAATGTATTTTATTGTATGACGATTTTGGAATTTATACTTATATTTAGAGAAATGGTACAGGTAATGTCTGTAGATGAAAGCGAAGTCCTGGCTACTCTGAGGGAGGGATCGGTCTTCGGCGAGATCAGTTTACTTGGCATCGATGGACTGCGACGAAGAACCGCTACTGTCAGGTTAATTCTTCTATAATTTTATCATATATTTGTTTTCCAAAAACACATTTAAGATTTCTAAATTATCAATAACTTTATAATAATGTTTGTGGTCCATAGTCAAATGTCCGCTATTTAGCGGACATTTGACTATGGACCTATGGATGGATATCTTTGACTATGGATGGATATCCATGATATTTAATGGTTATCAAAAGGCGATAAAGCACGCACGATTAAAGACGTAAATAACAGATCCCGCGGCTACTCAAACCTGTTCGCGCTATCCCGTAACGACCAGTATCAGAATTAGGTGGTTCAGGTGCAGTAGTTACAGTATCAACGTCCGTTAACTCAAATTAAAAAATAAAAGATCCTGCGGCTATTCAAACCTGTTCGCGCTATCCCGTAACGACCAGTACCACAATTAGGTGCCTCAGGTGCTGTAGTTACAGTATCAGCATCCGTTAATTCCAATTAAAAAATTACAGATCCCGCGGCTATTAAAACCTGTTCGGGCTATCCCGTAACGACTAGTACCACAATTAGGTGGCTCTGGTACTGTAGTTACAGTATCAGCATCCGTTAATACAAATTAAAAAATAACAGATCCCGCGGCTACTCAAACCTGTTCGCGCTATCCCGGAACGACCTGAACGCGGCACTGCGTCACCACAAGGAGGCGGCACAAGTGCTGCGGCTGCGTGCAGACCAGATAATCAGGGAGAACGCGGCGCGGCAGACCAAGCAGCGGCTGGCGGCGGCGGCGGCGCGGCGGCGCTCGGGCGGCGGCCGCTCCGAGGGCCGGCGCCGCCCGTCCGCCGCCAGCGACCGCAGCCGCCGCCCGCGCTCCGCCGCGCCCCACAGACGACTCTCCGCGGTCTCCGAGGACAAGGTATGGCTAAAACGACATTTCCAGGGCCGTATAAATAATTATAAAAAAAGGACTAGCTATATTTTTGTATTGGTTCAAAAATAAAAAATAAAAAAAATAATTGCATCTGCATAATTGCCACTTGCATTTTTTTTTCTTTTGTGATGTGAATACATGCAATACCGGAATTGAAAGTGCATTGCCGGTCTTTTAAGAGATAAGTTCTTTCAAATTGTTAGCTACTTTTCAGCTTTAGCGCTCCGCCTCAGCGCTAAAAAGGAATAATTGTTTGACACCTTTAAGCGTTTTAGATAAGTATCTGTACCTCACCCATTGTTGACTACAGACAGAATCATACACAGATGACTTTGTACAGTCTTATTCTGGTAAATGTTTATAGGCGACAATTATAATTACTTTGGCAAAAATCTTCCTACCATCCGAAATACAGCAACTACTATCATGACAGAAGAAATCTGTAAAATATAGAATAAAATAGCATTTATTAAAGTAAATTAGTTAAATTAGTAATTTATTTAAATACGTTAGTTAATTAGTAAGTCCATATTTTTTGTGCCCTATATCAATAAATAAATAATTAATCTTGCGATATAACCTTTATGGACGCTACGTGTTACATCGCATTCCAAGAGGAGGACATCCGAAGCATCTAAGAAAGAGGTAACATTGACAGAGAAATAGAGATAGAGGAACAAAGAACAGATTTTGTTAAAAAAGCTTACATTATTTTAGTGAAATAGGTTATTATTTTGTTAATATTTACAAACCTCACAAAGTTATGATGTCGTTTTCGGTTAAAACACGTGTGTTGAATAAAATAAATATAGGTCTTAACTAATGAATATTTATCCGATCAGAAAAAATATATTAATATTAGTAAACTTGTTCACTTATTAATTGTAATTTAATTTGAAAATATATATTTTTTTTATTTCTGCAGGCGCATACGGGACGTGGCTCACTAGTATCGGGATGTGGCGTTGTTCGCGCGCCCATACCGACCATCGTATTATCTCCGACTATTAGATAAATGCATTATATTTAATAAATACTTACTCGTCAATGTTAGATTATTAATTATGTATACGAAAACATATGAATATTATGTCTATACTAGCCAAATACATGTGATTGTAGCTCTCATGATTGTTAATAGTATTCTTTATGTACCTGCTGTGAATAAAAATTTTATTACTCAGTGCTTGTTTTAGTGACCCTTTAATTTAAGTATAATATTTTATATATTATAATTCTCGTATCACAATTAGTTACCATACTCCTTCGAAACGGCTTGACCGATTTTTATAAAAATTTATATGCATATTATAGGTTTGAGAATCTTCTAACTATTTTCCATACTTCTAAGTTATAAGGGTGTACCTTTAGCATTTATTTTTTGGACAAAATTTTATTTTTTTATAATGTGGCATTAAAAAAGACATATAACCCTGTTTTTTATTTTTATAACACAGGGAACAAACGAGCATGCGGCTCACCTGATGGTAAGTGATTACCGCCGCCCATGAGCACCCGCAACACCAGGGGAATTGCAAGTACGTTGTCGGCCTTTTAAAAAGGAATAAGCTCTTTTCTTGAAGGTTTCAATATTGTATCGGTTCGGAAATACCATTGCTGGAAGGTGATTCCACAATGTGGTTGTGCGAGGCAAAAAGTTTCTAGAAAACCGCACTGTGGAAGACCGCCATTCATCCAGATGATCAGGATGGTATTTCAGTTTCTGGCGGGTGGTACGGTGGTGAAACTCAGCAGCTGGTATTAATCCGAACAATTCCACAGAACACTCCCCGTGATATATGCGGTAGAAAATGCACAGAGATGCAATATCTCGCCGCAAAGCCAATGGGTCGAGTCTGTCACATAGACGTTGATTACTAATGATTCTGGCTGCTCGGTTCTGAATGCTGTCAAATGGAAGTAGCTGGTATTGTGGTGCACCCGCCCAGAGATGAGATCAGTATTTTATTAAATTTTCACTCTTCTATCACAAATCCTTATTTTTAATAGTGATAGAATATACTAAAACTTTTTAAACGTATATTCTCATTATGGCGCCCAACGTGGGACCACAAAACGCTTCTTTGTTTTATAAGCTTCTAGGTAAATCAGATATATATATATATCTGAAATAACTGCACATTAAATTATCTAGTTGCAAAATTTCAATTATAATCTCGGTTCTAGTCTACCTAAAAACGTCCCGAAAGAAAGATCTCAAGTCTTCGTACCACGTAATTTCACTGCCCTTTCTCACCCTTTGACCAAAACACAGCATACGAAGCAAATTGCTTTGCAGCAGAAATTTATTAAACATTTAGATTAGGGCCCTTGGATAACTCCTGGGTCTTCACTATCACAGATTATACAGCAGCACCAGTTTGTTTAGGAATTATAAAATCAAAATAAATGAGATGATAACTGACGAATGAATTATGTCATTAAAGAGCAGAGCTACATTAGGTCCGCCCCGAATAGGTTAATCCACGAACATCAGTAGAATAGAATGGTAAATCATTTATTCAAATAAACTTAATTTAAGTACTTTTGAATGACTTTGCATAAAGTCTAGGTACTTTATTAAAATCCACCGTGTGGGTACACACAAAAAATAGGTGTTAAATATGGGCAGTTGGATTATTTTATTTTCGACTATTCCGATTCTTTATTCTCATTGCCGTTGTTTTGTAATATTTAATCATTGTTTATTTCCCCTTTCCACGAGTAATACATTAATTATTATTATGTCGACATTGCGTGCATCCATATCGGGGACAATAACTAGATTTCAAATACTTTTAAAAACAAATAAAACGAAACCTTATGGCGAATGTAACAAAGCTCTATATAGTAAGAGAGAGGCTTTATGGTAACTACTGTTTACGCAGCTACGGTAAATAAGAAACTACAAAGAAAGACGGCAATAAAATAATCTACTGACAAAGGAATTGTTAACAAAGACATGGGACATCAAAGTACTGCAGAGGTAAGTAAAAACATGTATAATGTCAAAGTCTTATAAAATTCCACTAGATATAGATACTCAATATCATCTCTACAATTTAGAAATATGTTAGAAGCACAGAACAGAAGAGGAAGTAAATTGAATTTACCTAGAAGGCTACTCGATATATAAAACAATGAACACATGAAAACAATGCATTATAATTGGCTACATGGGAAATAATATATTACCATGCAATAAAAAATAATTCTTGGATTGATATAATAGATTTGTAATTCGGCTTCTTCTTTTTTTTGGCCTTTACAGCTTCACCGGACATTAGGAGGCGAGTGCAGTTGGCACTCCAAACCCGCGGAAGGACTTATGGAGCGGCTAAAGGCCAACGCGACGTACAGTAGGTGGAAGTTATTCCGCTCAAAAATCAAGTCTTACGACATTCTAGACACTAGTGTCAATCATAAATAATCATAGTAAGGGATATTTAATGTAGGTTCACAAGGACACGTTATTAACAAATATTTAATTTTACTTCCTGTTCTGTAGAAGATTGATAAAGGTAACGTTGGAGGATACTGATTTTTTAAGTTTCTAGTGAGATATAATTTAGTATTGAACGCCTGGCCTAACGCCACACGTGAATAAACACGTGAGTGAACTCTTCGCTCTTCTTCCTTTGGCAACTATATATACTGCAAAAGAAACATCAACATTGACACATATTGTTATTTTACACTCATGACATACTCGTACCTACTATCCCTCTCTACCTCAAGAAATGCAAGTTTAGAACCAATTTGTTTGAAGTCGGTTGAAAATACAGATAGATATCAGAAAATTGTTTAGTTTAACGTGTCACGCTAATATAAAATTAAAAGTTTAGTAATTTATAAGCATCGTTACGCTGTTGTGTATTCTGAATGCCATTGGGGACGCAACGAAGCAATCCAATAACCGATTACGAAGGTTCGTCAGTGTCTTTGCGTGACGTTAATCATTTCGTAGCCAGGGGTAATGTAATGCGAAACCCTAGATAACGTCTAATATAACAAAAAAAGCACCTTGATAAACTTTCCATGAATAATGTACTTTTTCTTTACTTTGTCCTATAACTAAATTTTAGTAGTACAATACCTAATAAAACTTGGGCTACTGTCTGCTTACTTTATAAACAAATAAATATTATTTTGCTAACAAATAAAAAGTTCAACCATAAGCCAATTAATAGGACAATCAAGAAAAATAATCAGCAGAATCGGTACAGTGTAACGTTCAAATTATCAGCGATTGAAAATCTACACTACACGAAACAACAGCTGATCCGTAGGTAAAACCGCCTCCAACAACTAGTTATTAAACAAAGTTCAAATTCTGTAAGGATATATATATATTTTAAACAAATATAGTGCTTTAATTAATAAAATATAATTTAAAAGCTACCTACATCACTCTAGATATATGGACTACATACTGAGTATGTGTATTATTTTCAGCTCAAGCGAAAATAAAATGGGCAGTATGAAAGTAGTTGTACTAGAAATAAAAAAATTATTGTCATCTACGCCAAACGCTCCACTTATGCTTCCGCTCTCAAAGGGCTGTAGCTTTCTGTTACAGTCTACCTATTAGCATTTTTGCTCATAACTCACTGTTAAACTTTTTACAATGTACGATTTTGTTTTATAATTGTCTTCATCTAAATAAGCCACCGTCGTTGGAGGGAGTGGATTACTAGTAATGAGAACAAGTCGACGCGATACGCAAAACTTCGTAGTTAAATGTTAGTGAATTCGCCACGATTGTCTCCCTGATTTCATCTTCATCAGTACATCCTCTACTGATTGCCTAGTAACTGATTAGTGCATGCAAGTGCATGGTACAGACCATGTCACCTACTCAATCTGTAAATAATGGGCGCCATCCTCTTTTTTAAAAAAAGAGATCTGTATCTAATGGTTTACCTAATGGATCAATATGATGGATTAATTTCAAGTCTCCCTTTTCTTAAAACCGATATATTAATGTTCACCTACATATGGGCTTACCCGATTGAAATATAAATGGGTAGTGTATACCAAATTTCTTACTCTATCATCACACGCGCAATATCATCCTTTAAGTCAGCAAATCAATTTTCATTATGGTAAACACCTTTGTCAACCAAATATCGTATAACATATCTCTAATAAGAATTCTTCAGTTTAATTTATAAAACATTTAATCAAATCGAACGTTGTAAATAACCCTTTCATTAGGGTAAGTCGAAACTGCGATCAACAGTTACTCAGTTCGAATGCTAGCCCGGCCACGAGCGGTGCTAGCTGAGACAATTTTAATTCTATTGTTAATAATTTAATTTAATGTAGTTTATTATATATATATGTATATTAATCAATAAATATAAATATGTAATATGTCTCAATTATTATGGATGCATTAAGTGATGTGTTTAGTTAATTCTTAATAAGGTAGGTATGTGTACAGTAAAAGTATTATTATACTTAAGCAGATTTATTTATTATAGCACCATATAAAATTGTATCTAAATATTATTTATCCAGTTTCGTTATTTCACCTAATAGACGTAATTTATATTTATTCGAGCGGATTTCGAGTCTATGTTACCTACAACAAAATATTGTGCAGGTAAGTAAATAGAAATATATATATATATATCTATAGCAGTTTTAATCAAAGAAAGTACCGTATCATCTTTGTAAGTTTATCGTTTTATTTCGCAGAGATATATTGTAATTGTATATTTAGAAATCTTGTGAATTCCATAAGAGTAGCAATTATTTTTACATATTACTATAACACCAACTAGAATCGTATATCATCATATATCGTGATATCATACGCTTCCCATGTTCTCAGGGCACTCTAATCTCATCATATCGGAATTGACCATATATTTTTAAAAGTTTTATGAACTAAAATATGTATTTTGGTGATTTTTGTTATTAAACATACATAGGTTGATGTAAATTCATTCACTAATTTCATTAGTTTTGTGGTCGTAAAGTCACGATATTGTGTGTTCGCGTGCTGAACTTGAAACATGTAAACCGACATAGATATCAATCACTGGTATCCGATGTATTCAATTAGGTACTTGGTACAAATATAATATTCGTTTAAAGCAAAAAAGCTACTTGATGCAGATATTTAAATTAGTCTATAATAAAAATATTTCAGGACAATTCACACAGCGCATTGTAGTTCCTAGCTAAGCAGAGCTTTTTTTATGGCTACTAGACAACTAATATAAATACTTAAATATTTTTTATGTAAATACTGATAAAAAAATGTTTGTGTCGTGCGATGAATCAAATCTGCGACCATCAGCAGTAAGGCGGTATGTTAAACCGCTGGACAGGTGGTCCAGCGGTTTAACAGCTGGCATAAATTTCAGTCATATACCGTCACTACAGTTAAACCAGATGAGGTATTGTCAACTGTGGTGAATTGCAACTCTTGACTGATTCAAGTGGAAGGTTTATTTATATGTAGAGTATACGTACCTATTATATATCGAAATATTTCATAAAACAGTGTTATGTATATTTAGTATTTATCAGGGATCAGAGCATTAAAATTATCGTGCATTACAATGAAAACCATATCGTGATGTTCGGTCGGGGCTAGCATGTATAATTTGCATGATAATAAGCCCCGTAACCGATGCCAAAGTTACGACTGCTTGCTTTTCTTGCGGTTTTACAAAATGATCAATTAAATGGAACTGGCAAAGGCAAACGTAGTAAGTTTTTTTTATTAGAATGGTATACCAACTGATGTTCCACCTGATAGTAAGTGACAACTATCACCTTTGTATATACTTAAATAAAGAGCGCCATACATTGTGCAGTACTAATTTATTTTTTCAAAGCTAATTTATATTCCTGATTATATTTCAATCTAAATGAAAGATTTTACCTTAACGAGAAGATAGAATGTATCCTATAAAAGTATAAACGACTATTAACTAAAAAATAATGTTGTTTTTGTCGTTATGTTAAACATTTTGTAAATAATGTAACATTTTTTTCATCTTCAGATGTTGTAAAAAATAGTTTTAGAACTTTGCTTCTATTCTACTTCACTTAATTATTTTTCTGTGTCCTTGTCATTCAAGGCATATTTCAAGGTAACATAACCAATAGATAATTCGGTAATAGAATACCAATAAGGTCATTATAAAATAAAAAATGAAGCTCTCGCTTTATAATATAAAAGTTCTATATAATAAAAAAGTTCTTCAGATTTCAAAGTGAATTGGGTATACTGATGTCCCTACAATATAAAATTACCACTTGATGACACAGATAAGGTGATAAGCCAATAGACTAACAGTTCTTGCTCACGAAAGCCGTTTGTTCTACAGAGAGGCATTAAAATTATCTGATCCTAGGAAGTAGATAGTCATAATAAACTCGGAAAATCTACGTTATGATAGTTTCTCTGGTACACATCAATCATAGTGCAAATAATACAAAACACGAAGCCACTAGCATATTACAGCAGTAGCATTTTTTTTATTTGTCTTAATTGATGTATGCAACATGCATGAATTAAGATAAATATTAAAAAAATATCATTGCTCGGCCACCTCCGCCATCTTCCCACCAGTTCTGTAGTTTATACCTAGCATGTTGTATTACAAATCAGAAAGTGTTTATTTATTAACTTCTCACGATTAAACGACTGAATCGATCTTAATAAAAGACGTAAAGATAGATTGTACCTCGAGGACCGATTTGGGCTATCTTTTATATCAAATAAGCAAATGAATTGACTAATTCCAAAGATATAATCAGAAACGAAGTAATTCCCCAGAAAACTAAGGTCATAAGCTCTACGAATTTGCAAGTTGACATAACAGGGGGTCTGACATATCTGTCACAGAAGCAATGGTCGCTGGAGTTGACGTGTTCGAGAGGGAAGACCGCGAATTAGTAAACGTATCGCATGACCCAAGTGGAGCGACGACATACAAAGTGTTGCAGGTCATGAGCAGACGTGTCACTTGGAAGAGGCTTATGTCCAGCATTGGACTACAGTGGTCTGAAGATGATAGACACAATACACCTACTGTTTGAAAGAGTTTTAATATAAACTGCAAATTTGGAACCAGAAATACATACGAAAAATACACAGTTGCACAGTGCACTACAGAACCGCTGAACAAATTAACAGTTATAACACGTAGAAATTTATGTTTCATCCAATATTTATAGCTAAGTACACAATAAAGTACCAATCTATCAAATCTATGCATGGCAGCTAACATTGCTGCCCTACCTTTATATTTACGTAATCATTGAATAAAAATGTACCTATTCCTGTCCACGGAGGGCAAAGATTTATTGCCCTTGTCATTGCCCCGCTTCATCGTTTACTCGATCATTCATCATACCAGCTTGTTTTGGCAACGAAATATTACCAATCTGCAAATATGTACCCTGCTCTATCCATATTATTCCACGCTAAGTAATAAAGTCGTTCCATTGCATGTACGTATGTACTTAAAATTAATTTATTAGGCGATGAGATTGTTAGTAATAGCGCTGACCTAATTATTAGTAATGCATCGTGTTAGGACTCTCGCTAGAAACAATGTCTTTTGCCCACTGTGGGTTACAAGCTGGCGTCACTTCATTCTCATTCTTGTTCCATCATCTTCATATGGTGTCTCAACAACATTTACCGAGCACAAATGGGAGTATATCAACTTCCATAAAAAGTATGAATTCGCTGTTTTTAAAGTAAGTAGTATGTAAAAATATCTATTATAGATGGATTCTATTTACGTCACGAAAAACTAATACATAAATTTACGAAGATTAGGAAATCGCTTTCAAGAATGAAAATATCTACATCATTCATCACATCATCATCAACACCATCATTATAAATTAGAAGCCAAAAGCTAAAGCGAAACTGTCGCAAATAATTTTAAATTAACTTTATTAATTGTTGACAATATGAATATTTTTTAAAAAGAATCTCATTTATTTATTTCTGGATTATTCGTTAGATATGTACCAAGCAATTTTGTTTAGTTTTTTAAAATCATTTCCTTACAGAGACTGCTACAAAATGGGCCGCAATAAAGAACCTGAACAGCCGGTAAGCAATCCTGTAGAAGCAAAGAAACATCGAGACGAGTCTGTTGGACACTTCAAAAATGGTAACTATGACCGAGCTCTCAACTCACTAGATAAGGTAAATAAATTAATTGTTATTTATGAACTATCATAAGACTAATTGTGGATTCCTAAAACATTCATATTTTTTTAATCTGTTAACACAATTATAGCAGCCAGTCTATATTTAGAGATTATAAACTGTCTGATCAAAAACATAAACAATAAAACCCTGATTTACTCAACTTATTATGATATTACAACGCTAATGAGGAAAACTTTTATCATAACGATACAAAAGAAAGAGAATATTAAATTTGAAAGTTTTAAAGAAATGCAGGTACCTTAATAGTTGTTTTGTTTGTCCTAGTTATACCAAAAGGTACTAAAATTACGAAGTATTAAGAAATCACTTGTCTGTCAACTAGAAAACAAAGTATAATTAGTACTTCATTATCTTCAAACATTTTAATCCCATTCTATAGGTCAATTAAAACATAGTTTGACAAATAGTGAATTAAAATATTAAATTACCTAGGTATTAGCTATATAATTACGACTTAGTAAGTTAAAACGGCCAATTATTTCTAAAGATATCAATTCTTTAAAAAGAAAATACATGTGCCCTCTAAACATCCACACACAGAACTAACATGAGGCCAAGGCATGTGGTAAAACACTTCTAGTCACCATGACGACGACATCCGGGGCGTCAATACTAACACCTATGCAAACACTTCGAAAAATTACATAACTTACTCCATCTACACCCGAGCCCCAGTGAACTGTCGTGATGGAAAATGATGCCATTGCTCAAGCTAGATCTATCCTTGGTCCTACAAAGGACGCAGAATTCTTGCAAAGCTTCGTAAGAGTAGGAATAGGTGACGACGAAGATGAGGCACCGGTCCCCAAAGCCTCGATCAGTAAGCGCGTTCCAAATTCTGCGGAAAAAACTCAAACGCCAGAAGCAGAAGAAGAGAGGTCTTCAGCGAAAGAGAAAATAGTGACTATTAAACCACGAAAGAAGAAAGAAAAGAAGCACCGTGAGAGACGACGTCGTGAGGAGGAACTGTATACTGACAAGGATCGCGCCGCGGCTGTGGTGATGGGATCTAGAGACATAAAATTATCTTTGAACATGAAAGATAAAGCAGAAAGAAGTAGTGCTCTCCATTTACCTGAAGAAGCTGATGCAGGTACACTTTTGGCGTTGTCTCGAGCGGAGATAATGAGGGAAAGGTACCGCAACGCGGTGACATTTGTTGATAAGGTATCTTCGAAAGATTAGGCAACAAAATGTCGTTAGTATAAAATAAAGTTCTTTAAAAACTTTTTCTTCTATTTCAGGCTATAGAATTGGCGCCAGAAGAGAAAGCAGCGTATGTCGCTCGCAGCAAATGCTACCTGCTTCTGGGGGAACCACGATTGGCTCTAGCAGATGCTGAAACGGCTCTAAATTTGGATCCGAAACACGCAAAAGCATTGCTTCAGAAAGCTGAAGCACTGTACTATTGTGGAGAGTTTGAACTGAGTTTAGTGCACTTCCACAGAGGATTGCGAGCGAGGCCCGACTTAAGTGACTTTCGACTGGGAGTACAAAAGGCACAGGTATATAGGTCGACCCTACCTATAAACAATTGCATTTTCTTAGACTTGTAAAGCAAAAATATCAATGACATTGATTATGCATATACTACAAACCGAAAAATAATATAATAACCCAGGACATACCTCTATCCCATCCCAAAATAATCAAATTTTGTACTATCAGCACTAAATAATTGATAATAATATGTACTTACATATATTTTTTTGAGAGTACATTTGTATAGAAAATCAACTACGGTAATTGGTCTGTGTGTTTTCTCATACACACCAATGATTGTACCATATGTGGAAACGAATAGAGGACTATCGGAGATTCCAACGATATGCTCAACCGCTACATTACCTTGGCGTATAACAGATCTAAGTAATAATATATTTAAATTTTCAGGAAGCAATAGAAAATACTATTGGGTCCGTAAAACCGGTTTTCAATAAACCAGTCAAACGCACGAACTCTAAGCCACCACGGCCTGCATTAGGTCAACTGATGTCTGACAAGTTATATCTGGAGAACCTGCTCAAGAACCCAGACCTGGCTATTGCAGACAAAAAGAACGGCATTGTAATGAAACAAGCCGAAGAAGCTATTCGATTTTTGGAGAACAGAGAAGAATTTTGGAGACAGCAACAGACCACAACTTAAAAAAATAATACTTGGATTAAACAAAGAATCACGTCCTTACGTGGTACGGTTTTAATCAACTATAATTAGTAGGAACATCTAAAATCTTAACTACTAACTAAAAAAAATGTAATATAAAAATTAATAATTACTGAATTAATCTAATTTCTTAATACTGTGTTGTTGATGTTAGCTGTTTTCGAACATGATCATCTGCTCTAATAAGTACAAAATGCAATTTTCCCTATAATGAACTAATAATTGTATTGTTGTACTCAATAAAAAACAATAAAACACGAAGAATATCCGAAATAACGTTTTATTTGTTCCAACTCTTCGACGTTTCAACTTAACCAACCAGAACGGACACGCATATAGCCATTTCATCCAAGCCATGCTACGTGAAAATAAAAATATTCACTTTATCAACATGAAACACAATATTTTGTTAATGCACATTTTCTAATTTTATATACAATATTTACAAGTAATTCAAAATCACTTACTTACTCACCAAACACTTAGAAATACATTTTTATATAATGATGAAAGTTTAATCATTCCATTTACTGAGTTCCTTCACCACACAGTGGTGTGTAAATGTAAAATTAAACATGCATTATTAAATATTATACTTAGAATAAAATTTCATAAGCAGTTATACATACTAATCAGAGATAAAAACAATATTATAATGGGATACAATGTCATTCATGGGTGCTATTATGACGCCACATCTACACACTGATGGTATTAAAAATATAGATATGAAACAATGCTTTAGTGTGATGGCGTAATAAGCGGTGTAATCTTTGTATTTCGTATCAATAAAATAATGTTCGAGCAAATAACATACACTTTAATACACTTTTGATTGCAAATTTTTGTTTTTAGGTTTGTGGTAATTTCACATTTAATCGCACACAGGTAATAAATCTTTCATTTAATCGCAAACAGGTATAGACTTTCGACCCTGTCCGTGATAAGTACAGATTGAAATTTTATTAGTATTGACATGTTTTTAAAAAGTAAAGTAAATTATATAATAGTGACGAGATGAATCGATTAAAGTATTCTAAATCGTGACTTAAAACGTGATATAAACGATTAAGGAGAATTTCACGAAACTACATTACGAAAATTTCATCATTTTTACACAATTTTTGCGACTTTATCAGGAAATCATCATAATCATTTATTGCAGTTTATCCATATGTGGCTTCATATTTGGTCTATTTAAAGTTCATAATAATCTCGTTAACCGGTTATATATTTTATGTAGGAATATATTTAAAAATTAAAATAATAAAATTGTACAATAATTTATAGGAAACCTTAATGTTTCTAATACTGTGTGTAGTTTAAATTATAGCAGTTATATTCGAGTTCTCTGTTCAGTATATTAGTACTAAATACTGACGAGAGAAACATATCTTTAAACTACAAATTTTCCCATAATACATTTTTTCTAACAACTATGCTCAGAATCGTCACACTTGATTATTATTACTAAATAATCAGTGTACAATATCCAAATAATCATAAAAAAATCTTAGCTTTGAAATAAAATATTGTCTATGCATTCCTAGCCGGACTTCATTACCTTAAAATCCATAAGTCAACTAGAGATCATAATTTTATTAACATAATAAATACTCAGTGAAATGAAACGTAATTCTAAAGATAATATTCCGCCGATTTCGATTACCATAAAAATATTGTTAAAACTAATCGGGGGACAACGTAAACAGCTTGTTTAAAAATGTACGTTAACATCTAATATATACAATTAATTTTATAATTTTAATCCCGCAGCAGTACATTTATTAGACGAATTGTAATCACTACACAGCTATTGAAAAGATAAATTAAAAAGCATTGATTGGGTATAAAAATAAGATCCTGTCTACTAAATATACGCCGTTACACCTATGTATACAAATCTTATACGAGGTAAAATGATTTGTAGGTGTAGTCTCTGAATTACGAAAATAATTAAAATATTTTCACTACTAACGATAATAAAAGAATCCCCCAATAAATTCCTCAGGAAACAGTACATTCTCAAAGTACAGTCGATTTGTGTTGGCAACAATAATACAGCTTAGAAGTATCAAAAAAATAATGAGGGTAAGTGTATCCAATGTACGAAACAATAAATAGAAATTGGACACTAAATTTTTGTTGGATTTAAACTACTGATAATACTAATGATTATTTGCTATTTTACACACAAAAATTATCTGGTATTTTTAAGTTAAAAATATAGAACTATTTTGCACTCCCATTCTCTAAATGTATCTCCAAATTTATTTCTAATTTGATGATAATTCTATTAAATCACATTTCGATAGTAGTGTCATATGGTGTTACCATATCCTGAAATATCAATCTCTAAAATTAGTAAGTTATATTTATGTACCTTTAAATGAAAATAGATTTAAGTGTCCCAAAGTAAATAGACTCTAATTCCATTTAAATGCTTGCCTGTAACGGCAAATATCAGTCTACAATTGTTCAATATTACTACTTATATAATGACATCGGTGGCTTATCAAATTAATAGTTGTTAAAAATCATGTTCTAGCTAACATTATTATTTAATAATTAAGTGTATTCCATTATGCAATATTATAATGACAAAATATGCCTAATTTATACATAATCAGCAGTTCAGATTTATTAATTTAAAAGCAATGCATCCAACAAGTTTTTAAAAAACTCGTCCAACTCAAAAGGCTAGATTTGAGCATTGGAATTTGAAATCCATCATTTAAATACTACATAATTACTTAACTCTAAAGAATTTAGTATACAGTCCATTTTCATCTTTATATAATATTTACACACATCAGAAAGCTATTTACGACAGATTCAGAAAAGCTCATGAGAGACTGATTTTTTTCAATCAAAAGCTAACTTTATTATTATATTAACTATATACTATTATTATTATAGAATATTGTAATGTCAATTTTTTTTATGTAATTGAAATGGCAACAAGTTGACGGCCACCATATGGTAAACGGCAACCGTCGCCTATACACATGACCAATACTACAGACATCATGGGACGCCCGTGACACCGCTCATGCTTTACCATTTCGGAGGGCTAAGGTGCCATACCGCTTACCCTGTAATTTCACTGCGTAATCTCACCTTTCTACCCAAGAACAACTTATAGTAGGTACTGTTAGCGGCTGAAATAGGTAAGATAGAACTGCCCAGAATTTTTTTTTACAAAGTCTACCTCAGGCATGTCAAAAGTACCGAAAATTTCAAAACATAAATACTTGCGTACCCAAGTCTTTTCTAGAAGTGACATTTGCAGAGAATCACTATTATTTAATCTATAAAAGTTTAGAAGAAATAAAATTCTATTGTTTGACTGGTGTTTTGTATGACCCAGCTAGATCTAGTCCGTTAATGTCCATAGACAATGTGATTATGTTATGACTTGTCATAGATTATCATTGGCAGTGAAGCCGATTGTCTATGCCTAGTAATAAAAATACACGAAAATATGTGCCACGCGTCATCTCAGCACTCTGCCACACACACTTCATAAATATTGAAAAATACTGGGATTAAAATATTTCCTGTGGACTTCACATTAACTACTTCCAGATGTACACAGCCTTGTCAGTTTACATACACTGAATTGATGTCAATACAACATATTATTGTTGTTTTTTCAACCATTTGTTCAATAACAATATTTCCATTTGAATATATTTATCTAGTCATATGATGTGAAATAAGTGACTTTAATCAAATGAGCGACAGCCGAAGCCGTCGCATCTCCTGTTAATCCGCTTCCTCAGGCGGTCGCTTATAAACAGGCCCGAATTTCGCCATGTATTTCTTGACGAAAGTCTTCGCTTTGGTTCGAACAGAGTCGGTAACCACCAACTCTTCTACTGACTGACAATGTTTGAGCTCCTTCAACATTACGAAATGCGTGAGCTGAAAAGAAAATAAAGTATTTTAATTTGGGATAGCATTATGTTATTTAGTGCAAGTCTGGATGTATTAAATACTAAGTTTGAAACAGTTTTTTACATTTTTTCAGTAACATAATACCTCTAGAGGTAAATTACATCTTAATAATTGAAAACTCTTGCAATTCGGTTTTATAGATTAAAGCCGAAAGAGCGTCAATTCTCTTCTGCTGCAGTAGATTGAAACTTGGCACTTACCATCTAATAAGGTGGTTTGCGCATTATTCATAAGTATTCCTGCGAGATAGATTAAACATAAAGAATGAAATAGTAATTCACGTTAAGGGCAATAAATCTTATCTTTACAAGGACTGTGTGATGTACCCTTTTTTAAGGAACAGGCAGATCAATAGTTCTGCTTGTTGCTTTAAAGAACAGTCTATTATAGGCAGTCATTTAATGGAAATGGTAAAAATATAAATAAGGAATGGAAGGTATATTAGATTGATTGATAGGTTACGTACCTTCCTGGCGAGGTGTTTGAAGTCGGCAGTGCAGGTGATGCGTCCGAGTGGCGCGTCTGACCGCCGGTACGGGTTGAGATGCTGCACCATAACGCGCGCCATGCTGCTGCGGAACTGCTCCTTGCGTCGGCGCGCCATCTCCTCCGCCTCGGCCGGACTCGGGTTCGGGCTCGGGCTCTCCTCCGCTACCACTACCGCCTCCTCCACTGGCTCCTCCGCCGGCTTGTCCTCTTCGTCCGACAATAGGTCCGAGTCGGTGTCCGAGTCCGCCAGATCCACCATCTGATATGTGATATGATTGTTATAACATTGGGGATAAACGAGCTTGCAAATCACGATAGTAAGTGCTTACCGCCGCCCATGAGAGTGTTCACTAGGGCAATTGCAAGTGCGTTGCCGACATTTTAAGAAGGAATAAGCTCTTTTCTTGAAGGTTCAATATCGTATCGGTTCGGAAATACCATTGCTGAAAGGCGATTCTACTATTTATAAAACATACTTGAACAATCATTTGCTACACAGTTTCGTATATTGAAAATTAAGAGAGTAAAAAGCC